TTGCAAACTGCTCCAGGTCTCTCATATTGGATGGGTGCCTTTTCCCAACAGCAATTTTAAGATCTCTCCACAGGTGTTCAATGGGATTAAGATCTGGACTCATTGCTGGCCACTTCAGAACTCTCCAGCGCTTTGTTGCCATCCATTTCTGGGTGCTTTTTGAAGTATGTTTGGGGTCATTGTCCTGCTGGAAGACCCATGATCTCGGACGCAAACCCAGCTTTCTGACACTGGGCCCTACATTGCGACCCAAAATCCTTTGGTAATCCTCAGATTTCATGATGCCTTGCACACAGTCAAGGCACCCAGTGCCAGAGGCAGCAAAACAACCCCAAAACATCTTTGAACCTCCACCATATTTGACTGTAGGTACTGTGTTCTTTTCTTTGAAGGCTTCATTACATTTTCGGTAAACAGTAGAACGATGTGCTTTACCAAAAAGCTCTATCTTGGTCTCATCTGTCCATAAGACGTTCTCCCAGAAGGAATTTGGCTTACTCATGTACATTTTGGCAAACTGTAGTCTTGCTTTTTTATGTCTCTGTGTCAGCAGTGGGGTCCTCCTGGGTCTCCTGCCATAGCGTTTCATTTCATTCAAATTTCGACGTATAGTTCGCGCTGACACTGATGCACCCTGAGCCTGCAGGACAGCTTGAATTTCTTTGGAACTTGTTTGGGGCTGCTTATCCACCATCCGGACTATCCTGCGTTGCAACCTTTCATCAATTTTTCTCTTCCGTCCACGTCCAGGGAGATTAGCTACAGTGCCATGGGTTGCAAAACTTCTTGATCATGTTGCGCACTGTGGACAAAGGAACATCTAGATCTCTGGAGATGGACTTGTAACCTTGAGATTGTTGATATTTTTCCACAATTTTGGTTCTCAAGTCCTCAGACAGTTCTCTTTTCCTCTTTCTGTTCTCCATGCTTAGTGTGGCACACACAGAAACACAATGCAAAGACTGAGTCAACTTCTCTCCTTTTTATCTGCTTTCAGGTGTGATTTTTAGATTGCCCACACCTGTTACTTGCCCCAGGTGAGTTTAAAGGAGCATCACATGCTTGGAACAAACTTATTTATCCACAATTTTGAAAGGGTGCCAATAACTTTGTCCGGCCCATTTTTTTAGTTTTGTGTGAAATTATGTCAAATTTGCTTTTTTCCTGTTTTTTTTTGTGTTATTCCAATACACACAAAGGAAATAAACATGTGCATAGCAAAACATGTGTAATTTCAATACTTTTCTGTGAGAAATACTTCATTTTCTGGAAAAATTTCAGGGGTGCCAACAATTTTGGCCATGACTGTATATACACACTATATATATATACACTATATACACACTATATACACACTATATATATATATACACACTATATATATATACACACTATATATACACATATATACACACTATATATACACATATATACACACTATATATACACTATATACACACTATATATATACACTATATATACACTTACACACTATATATACACTTACACACTATATACACACTATATATACACTTACACACTATATATACACACTATATATAGAAAAGTATGTGGACACCACTTCAAATTAGTGGATTCGGCTATTCCAACTCAGCCGTTGCTGACAGGTGTATAAAATCGAGCACACCGCCATGCAATCTCCATAGACAAACATTGGCAGTAGAATGGCCTTTGTAAGTGCCCCAATGCAAAGTGCCAGCTGTAAAGTTTGGTGGAGGAGGAATAATGGTCTGGGGCTGTTTTTCATGGTTCGGGCCCCTTAGTTCCAGTGAAGGGACAACTTAACGCTACAGCATACAATGACATTCTAGACGATTCTGTCCTTCCAACACTGTGGCAACAGTTTGGGGAAGGCCCTTTCCTGTTTCAACTCCATATTAATACCCATGATTTTGGAATGAAATATTCGACAAGCAAGTGTCCACATACTTTTGGTTATGTGGTGTACCTCCGGATCCGATCTGTTATCGGAAGCCCCCAGGGAAGAAGGTGCCGGAACCTCTGGATCCAGGGCAGGGAAGCTGTTTCTAGCCTGTGTCCGGTCCGGGCTTAACTTCGCCAAGGAAGCCCTCGTTGCCAGAGGTCGCTGTTTTCGACTTTCACGGCAAGTGACATATCTCCATGGCTGGTTGGTAGGATCGAGAACAGGAACAGCCAAGTCATCCAGGAGCATCCTGCTAACTCCATTCACCAGGGAAGGGGGAGACCCCTTCAGGGAGGGATCCCTGCAGAGGACCGGCTGTGGAGAGCCAACAGGGCAGCGACACTTCCACCAGACCAGAGCGGCATCCGGCTACTGGGGTAAAATAACAATTGTAGTACAGGTCACAATGGTGGGTAGTATATGGGGCTTTGGTGACAAAACGGATGGCACTGTGATAGACTACATCCAATTTGCTTGAGTTGAGTGTTGGAAGCTATTTTGTAAATTACATCGCCGAAGTCAAGGATCGGTAGGATAGTCAGTTTTACGAGGGCATGTTTGGCAGCATGAGTGAAGGAGGCTTTGTTGCAAAACAGGAAGCCGATTTCTAGTTTTAACTTTGGATTGGAGATGCTTAATGTGAGTCTGGAAGGAGAGTTTACGGTCTAACCAGACACCTAGGTATTTGTAGTTGTCCACATACTCTAGGTCAGACCCGCCGAGAGTAGTGATTCTAGTCGGGCGGGTGCAAGCAGCGTTCGATTAAAGAGCATGCATTTAGTTTTACTAGCGTTTAAGAGCAGTTGGAGGCTACTGAAGGAGTGCTGTATGGCGTTGAAGCTCGTTTGGAGGTTTGTTAACACAGTGTCCAACATTCTTTGTCGTTTATCTTAGTTTCATATTGTAATTTCTTCTTTTTATTCAGTTTAGTCACATGATTTGCAGTATCTTTGCCATTCCTTTTGCCATCCCTCTCAACCATATCGTTTTTCAATTCCTCATCAATCCAAGGGGATTTAACATTTTTGACAGTCATTTTCTTACATTTTACATTTTAGTCATTTAGCAGACACTCTTATCCAGAGCGACCTACAGTTAGTGAGTGTATACATTTTCATACTGGCTCCCCGTGGGAAACGAACCCACAATCCTGGCGTTGCAAGCGCCATGCTCTACCAACTGAGCTACAGGGGACTTCATGGGTGTGTGCTTCTTCGTAACTGGAATAAGCAATTTCATAAATTTGTCAAGTGTACCATCTGGTTGCTCCTCATTACATACCACGGACCAACAAATATTATTTACATCAACAACATAGGAATCACTACAGAACTTATTGTATGACCTCTTATACACTATATTAGGCCCAGCCTTTGGAACTTTGGCTTTCCTAGATATGGCTACTATATTGTGATCACTACATCCGATGGATTTGGATACTGCTTTAAAGAAAATTTAGTAAAGATGTGATCAATACATGTTGTTGATTTAATTCCTGTGCTGTTTGTAACTACCCTGGTAGGTTGACTGATAACCTGAACCAGGTTGCAGGCACTGGTTACAGTTTGAAGATGTTTCTTGAGTGGGCAGCTTGATGAAATCCAGTCAATATTGAAATCACCCAGAAGATATACCTCCTTGTTGATATCACATACATTATCAAGCATTTCACACATGTTATCCAGATACTGACTGTAAGCACTTGGTGGTCTATAGCAGCTTCCCACCAGAATGGGTTTTAGGTGAGGCAGATGAACCTGTAGCCATATTACTTCAACAGTATTTAACATGAGATCCTCTCTAAGCTTTACAGGAATGTGGCTCTGAATATAGACCGCAACACCACCCCCATTGGTATTTCTGTCTTTTCTGTAAATGTTATAACCTTGTATTGCTACCACTGTATCATCAAAGGTATCATCAAAGGTATTATCTAAATGAGTATCAGAGTTAGTCAGAATATGAATGTAATTTGTTACTAGCAAGTTATTGACTTCATGAACCTTGTTTCTTAGGCTACATATGTTAACGCTGGCTATTTTTAACACTTTTCTGGGATGCTTGATTGTTTTCAATGCTTTACTTGGAGGCTTATCAGAAGTAGACATGACAATGTTATTTATGTTTGAGCTGATAGTGCAGGGTGAGCTGCACACAGTGGACTTCCTAATAGGGCACACTGCCTCAGTGCTAACAGTATAACTCTGGTTCATAGACACATGATTACTGAATAGCTGTAGGATCAGCAGAGGCATTCAGGGCAGGTAGAGGGACATACATTAAGTTACTTACATTGTGTCTGCCAACGCCCCTGGGATAATGTACATTTGCTGCAGCATTACGAAAACTCAACATCACAATGGTAGGGATTATCTAAACTGGGCTTGAATCATTGATAAATCAATCTCTAAACGCAGCCTTGAAATGCGTGGACAGAGTCCAGTAGCCAAAATTATTTGGATGGACTCTGTTATTCCTGTAGAACATCTTCTGTTTCCAGAATGTGTCAAAGTTATCTATAAAAGTGATTCCAACAGAGCTTGTGGTTGTGTTGTGGTTGTGTTGTGGTTGTGTTGTGGTTGTGTTATGGTTGTGGTTGTTTCCAGGTGGACGTGCGTCAGTGCCATTACCTGGTGTTGTGGTTGTGTTGTGGTTGTGTTGTGGTTGTGTTGTGGTTGTGTTGTGGTTGTGTTATGGTTGTGTTGTGGTTGTGTTGTGGTTGTGTTATGGTTGTGTTGTGGTTGTTTCCAGGTGGACGTGCATCAGTGCCATTACCTGGTGTTGTGGTTGTGTTGTGGTTGTGTTGTGGTTGTGTTATGGTTGTGTTATGGTTGTTTCTAGGTGGACGTGCGTCAGTGCCATTACCTGGTGTTGTGGTTGTGTTGTGGTTGTGTTGTGGTGGTGTTGTGGTTGTGGTTGTGGTTGTTTCCAGGTGGACGTGCGTCAGTGCCATTACCTGGTGTTGTGGTTGTGTTGTGGTTGTGTTGTGGTTGGGTTGTGGTTGGGTTGTGGTTGTGTTGTGGTTGTGTTATGGTTGTGTTGTGGTTGTTTCCAGGTGGACGTGCATCAGTGCCATTACCTGGTGGATCTGGACCTAGAGACCTCAGCACCTAGAGAGCCGCGGTACGCTGACAACACAGACTGGAGCGTCATCGCATCGAAACCCTTCCTAAATGCTGCCAGGTACAAACACACATTATATATATATATATATATATACACTGCATTTGGAAAGTATTCAGACCCCTTGACTTTTTCCACATTTTGTTACGTTACAGCCTTATTCTAAAATTTATCAAATTTAATTTTGTTCCTCATCAGTCTACACACAATAGCCCATAATGACAAAGATAAAAAAGTTTTGTATACATTTTCCAAAAGTATTCAAAATAAAAAACTGAAATACCTTATTTACATAATTATTATGACCCTTTGCTATGAGACTCGAAATTGAGCTCAAGTGCATCCTGTTTCCATTGATCATCCTTGAGATGTTTCTACAACTTGATTGGAGTCCACCTGTGGTAAATTCAATTGATTGGACATGATTTGGAAAGGCACACACCTGTCTATATAAGGTTCCACAGTTGTCCGTGCATGTCAGAGAAAAAACCAAGCCATGAGGTCGAAGGAATTGTCCGTAGAGCTCCGAGACAGGATTGTGTCGAGGCACAGATCTGGGGAAGGGTACCAAAACATTTCTGCAGCATTGAAGGTCCCCTAGAACACAGTGGCCTCCATTCTTAAATGGAAGAAGTTTGGAACCACCAAGACTCTTCCTAGAGCTGGCCGCCCGGCCAAACTGAGCAATCGGGGGTGAAGGGCCTTGGTCAGGGAGGTGACCAAGAACCTGATGGTCACTCTGACAGAGCTCCAGAGTTCCTCTGTGGAGATGGGAGAACCTTCCAGAAGGACAACCATCTCTGCAGCCCTCCGCCAATCAGGCCTTTATGGTAGAGTGGCCAGACTGAAGCCACTCCTCAGTAAAAGGCACATGACAGCCCACTTGGAGTTTGCCAAAAGGTACCTAAAGGACTCTCAGATCATGAGAAACAAGATTCTCTGGTCTGATGAAACCAAGATTGAACTCTTTGGCCTGAATGCCAAGTGTCACGTCTGGAGGAAACCTGGCACCATCCCTACAGTGAAGCATGGTGGCGGTAGCATCATGCTGTGGGGATGTTTTTCAGCTGCAGGGACTGGGAGACTAGTCAGGCTTGAGGGAAAGATGAATGGAGCAAAGTACAGAGAGATCCTTGATGAAAACCTGCTCCAGAGCACTCAGGACCTCAGGCTGGGGCGAAGGTTCACCTTCCAACAGGACAACAACCCTAAGCACACAGCCAAGCCAACGCAGGAGTGGCTTCGGGACAAGTCTCTGAATGTCCTTGAGTGGTCCAGCGAGAGCTTGGACTTGAACCCGATCGAACATCTCTGGAGAGTCCTGAATATAGCTGTGCAGCGACGCTCCCCATCCAACCTGACAGAGCTTGAGAGGATCTGCAGAGGAGAATGGGAGAAACTCCCCAAATACAGGTGTGCCAAGCTTGTAGCTTCATACCCAAGAAGAGGCTGTAATCGCTGCCAAAGGTGCTTCAACAAAGTACTGAGTAAAGGGTCTGAATATTTATGTAAATGTGATATTTCAAAAAAAAAATCCGTAATAAATGCAAAAAGTTCTAAAAACCTGTTTTTGCTGTCATTATGGGGTATTGTGTGTAGATTGATGAGGGGAAAACAACTATTTAATCCATTGTAGAATAAGGCTGTAACGTAACAAAATGTGGAAAAAGTCAAGGGGTCTGAATACTTCCTGAATGCACTGTGTGTGTGTGTGTGTGTGTGTATATATATATATATATATATATATATATATATATATATATATATATATATATATATATATATATATATATATACACACACACCACACACCCCACACACCACACACACAATGAAAGAGAGGTTATGTGCGTAACAGCAGTAGATATAATGGTAATGTGATATCTCCCTCCTCTCTTCCTCTTCCTCCTCTTCCTCCTCCTCTCTCTCCCAGGTCCTCTCCTCTGTTCAGAGCGTTCTTCATTCCCTTCCTCTCTGAGCAGCACACCACCTACACACGATACGTCATCCTGAAACCACGACGACCAAAGCAGCCTCGCAAACGCACCCACGCCTGACCTCTAATCTCTGACAGCTCAATCTGCTCTATGCCCCCTCTACCCCCACACATCTCCCCTCTACCCCCACACATCTCCCCTCTACCTCCAACAATCCCCCTCTACCCCACACATCTCCCCTCTACCCCCCACACATCTCCCTCTCCCCCCCACAGCATCTCCCCTCTACCCCCCACACATCTCCCCTCTACCCCCCACCATCTCCCCTCTAAACCAACCCCCACACATCTTCCCCTCTACCCCCACACATCTCCCCTCAATACCCCAACACATCTCACCTCTAACCCCCACACATCTCCCCTCTACCCCCACACATCTCCCCTCTACCCCCACACATCTCCCCTCTACCCCCACACATCTCCCATGCGACCCCCACACCTATGATCTCCCCTCTACCCCCGACACATCTCCCGCTCTACCCCCACACATCTCCGCTCATTCCTCTGTCCACTTATGTTCGTTTTTAGATTTCTGACCTTAATTCCATCTTCTGTTGCGTCCTGGGTCGCTCTCTCTCTCTCTCTCTCTCTCTCTCTCCTCTCTCTTTCTCTTTCTCTCTCTCTCTCTCTCTCTCTTTCTCTTCTCTCTCTCTCTCCTCTCTTCTCATCTCTCTCTCTCCTTTCTCTCTCTCTCTCTCTCTTTGCTCTCTATCTTTCCCTCTCTCTCTCTCTGTCTCTCTCTCTCTCTCTCTTTTCTCGCTCTTCTCTCTCCTCTCGTCTCTTCTCGATCTCTCTCTCTCTCTCTCTCTTCTCGCTCTTCTGCGTCTCTCTCTACTCTCTCACTCTCTCCTCTCTCCATCCTCTCTGCTCTCTCTACTCCATCTCTCATCTCTCTCGTCTCCTGCTCCTTGGTGTGTTGAGGAACATCATGTCCTTCTATCAAAATGTTTCATAATTATGTTGCCGTGTGTGATAGCGTTGTAAAGGTGTGAGTGTTCAAGACTTTAATTGGAGAATAAAAACCTAAGTAAAACAGACTGAGTTCAGATACCTTTATTTAGGGAGTTAATTTAGGGAGTTATCTATTGAAGCTTTGTCAGTGAAATGCCTTTCTTCCTTTCTTCCAAGTGCTTCCCCAACAATGCAGGAACCAATAACAGTAGTAAAATCGTTATACTCTAAAGTAAAATAGAATAACAGTAGTACTATAAATAAAATAGAACAAAAGAGAAATAGAAATGTTGAAATATTGAAGATATGCAGTATCCTGAACAGTAACAACAGTGATAGTTAACAGTAGAAGATATACAGTATCCTGAACAGTAACAACAGTGATAGTTAACAGTAGAAATATCAGTATCCTTGAACAGTACCACCCAGTGAGATTTGAGGAGATAGGGGGATACTGGGGAGGATTGTAGGAGGGAGGGGGAGATGGGGGAGGATTGGAGCGGAGAGGGGTTGATCAGGTGGAGTATTGGAGAGAGAGGGGTGAGAAAATGTGGAGGTATTGGTATGATATCGGGGGGAGAAGGTGAGAGGAGGGGGGAGAAGGTGGAGAGAGGGGGGAGATAAGGTGGAACCTGGAGAGGGGGAGCATGTGAGGCTTGGAGGCGTAGAGTTGGTAGACATGTGGAATCCTGGATAGTTTTCGAGAAGGTGGAGGACTGGGGTATGCCGCTGGAGTAGCAGGGGGGAGAACGGTGGACCTGGTCGAGGGGGGATAAGGTGGGGCTTGGAGGAGGAGAGTGGGGGCCGGGTGGTCCTGATGAGAGATTGGGGATAAAGGTTGGGCGAGGGGGTAACAGATGAGTCGAGGGGGGAGACGTGGAGGAAGGTGGGAGAAAGAGGAGAGGGAGCTGGGGGCAGGCTTGGAGGATGAGAGGGTGGAGACTTGGTGAAGAAAGGTGGAGGATTTGAGTAGCGAGGGGGGAGAAAGGTGGTGGCTTGGAGAGATGATTGGGGATAAAGGTGGTGGATGGAGGAGGAAGGGGGAGAAAGGTGTATGATTGTGCGGAGGAGAGGTTTGAGAAAGGGGGAGGATTGGAGGAGGAGAGGGGGAGACTGGGGGAGAAAGGTGGTGGATGGAGGAGGAGAGGGGGGAGAAAGGTGGAGGATTGGAGGAGGAGAGGGGGGAGAAAGGTGGAGGATTGGAGGAGGAGAGGGGGAGACTGGGGGAAAAGGTGGTGGATTGGAGGAGGAGAGGGGGGAGAAAGGTGGAGAGGTTGGAGGATGAGAGGGGGGAGAAAGGTGGAAGATGGAGAGGGGGGAGAAAGGTGGAGGAGAGAGGGGGGAGAAAGATGGAGGAGAGGGGGGAGAAAGGTGGAGGAGAGGGGGGAGAAAGGTGGAGGAGAGGGGGGAGAAAGGTGGAGGATTGGAGGAGGAGAGGGGGGAGCAAAGGTTGGAGAGAGGAGGGGGGGAGAAAGGTTGGAGAGAGGAGGGGGGGAGAAAGGTGGAGGATTGGAGGAGGAGAGGGGGGAGAAAGGTGGAGAGAGGAGGGGGGGAGAAAGGTGGAGGATTGGAGGAGGAGAGGGGGGAGAAAGGTGGAGAGAGGAGGGGGGGAGAAAGGTGGAGGATTGGAGGAGGAGAGGGGGGAGAAAGGTGGAGAGAGGAGGGGGGGATTACCATAGCGATCCAGGATGGTTTGGTAAAGACTGTCTCCATAATAACTAGTGTTGTACAGTTCACTACTCTTCACCGCACTGCGACCCAGACTGTTGTTATAAACCTCTCGGTTACCATGTCCACCCACACTGTTGTTGTGGCTCAGTTGGTAGAGCATGGCACTTGCAACGCTAGGGTTGTGGGTTTGATTCCCACAGGGGACCACTGCGAATGAAAATGTATGCACTCACTGCTGTAAGTCGCTCTGGATAAGAGCGTCTGCTAAATGGCTAAAATGTTAGGGTTGCCGTGGCGTCTGCCCAGACAGGTTGTAGAGTTCAGAGGTCAACAGGAAGTTGCTCTCAGTGCTGGCCAGCGTGATTAAACCGCTCTCCGTGTCCCGCAGACCACCCAGGTTGTCTTAGTCACCAGAGTATCGAGATAAACTTAATCAACTATGTAACAATCTCAGAGATTACTACCATAGACATGCTGATTTTTCTAAAATCCATGAGTGCAAACAGGAAGCAGATGGGCCGTATCATCAACAATTAAAAATAGCCTTTTTAAGCAGAATGAGGCCTGAAATTTCTCAAACAATAAAAAAGACCCTGATTGGCTGGGGTACAGCAACACTGATTGAGGTTAAAAGGTATGCAGTTCACCAAGAGCAGAACGGGAGAGAGAAGAGGAGTAAGAGAGACCTGAAGGGAGTTGAGTATCTCATGCCAACTCTCGGGAAGAGAGAAGGCCAGAACAAAGGGACAGGGTCCTGGAAATCAGTCTGTGTTTTTTGTCAGTTCTGCTGGGAGTATATTTGATGAAGGGGATTTGTGTTGAATGACATTTTACATTTTAGTCATTTAGCAGACGCTCTTATCCAGAGCGACTTACAGGAGCAATTAGGGTTAAGTGCCTTGCTTAAGGGCACATCAACAGATTTTTCACCTAGTCGGCTCGGGGATTAGAACCAGCGACCTTTCGGTTACTGGCACAACGCTCTTACCCACTAAGCTACCTGCCGCCCCATGAGAGGCTAGAGATTTCATAAAATTATAATTGGAATAATAATGATATATTAACTTGCTCACCCAAACGTAGACATACGTCATAGGTGAGACATAATTAATATGGGTTTTCTGAATAAACTGACCAGAAGTTATGTGGTTAAAGACAAGTTATAATATTGTACAAAGCCAATGTAGGGTTTCCATTAAGGAACGTCATTTTGTATCAGATGGTAAAACGACAGACCTTTGTGATTTAGTGGGATTTATTTGTCATTTTATAATAATAAATAATAAATAATATGCCATTTAGCAGACGCTTTTATCCAAAGCGACTTACAGTCATGCGTGCATACATTTTTGTGTATGGGTGGTCCCGGGGATCGAACCCACTACCTTGGCGTTACAAGCGCCGTGCTCTACCAGCTGAGCTACAGAGGACCACATAGAGTCAATAAATCTGTCTTTATGAATTAATTATCTGCTGGTAGGTGTTGCTGGAACGGATACTACAGAGTGTCTCGTTTGGGGATGTATTAGGGAAGGTTTGGGGATGTATTTGGGAAGGTTTGGGGATGTATAAGGAAAGCTTTGGGGATGTATAAGGGAAGGTTTGGGGATGTATAAGGGAAGGTTTGGGGATGTATAAGGGAAGGTTTGGGGATGTATAAGGGAAGGTTTGGGGATGTATAAGGGAAGGTTTGGGGATGTATAAGGGAAGGTTTGGGGATGTATAAGGGAAGGTTTGAAACTTTGTGTGGTAGTCATTTATTTATTTGTTTCTTTCGTTGCCTAAGGGTTTGCTAGAGTAATGTCTATAAATAAATTGGATATTGATAATATGGACATGCATTCAATATATGATGGTAAAATACAGCAAGTGTTCGGTGTTACTTGTAGCCTACTTAGAAAAGACAGTTGCCTAGATCTGCTGTATTCTAAACAATGACGGATTGGGGGTTTCATAAGAGGTGGCTATAATTTTAGTTGATAACAGAGGTAATAGGATATAGTTTATTACGCCTAGAGAAGAGAATGTCTTATATTCATGGGAAGGGAAGTAAGGGAGAGAAGCCTTACAGACGCCCACCCCCCCAGCTTTGACGAGGAAGAAGAGGAAGATGAGGCGTGACTAGCCCCAGAGGGAGGGGGAGTAGATTCTAGTGAGGTGGAGACTGAGGAGCCCATTGATCCACGTTGTGAGGTGTTTGATTTGGCTACTATTGACCTGGCACTTCAACAGGAACAGAAACCTTATTTGACATTGACAGTAATGGGTAAGAACATTTAATTCCTATGCGATACAGGGGCTTGCAGGACAGCAATCTGTTCAGCAGACAAACCAGAGGGAGTCAGGATTGATGGGGAGAAAATCATAGTGCGATCTGCCTCTGGTCATCAATTTATTGACAGGTTATCAGCCCCAATAACCCTAAAACATGACCAATCA